ATTCAGCAGGGTGAGGGTCACTCACTGTGTACCTGTACTGGGATGTGATTATTCAGCAGGGTGAGGGTCACTCACTGTGTAACTGTACTGGGATGTGTTTATTCACCAGGTTAAAGTCTACAAGCAATGTTTTCTGTCTCTCTGTCATTCTGTCCTTTCTGCAGTGCTGTGATTGCATTCAGTAATCGAACTTATGTCATTGAACCTGTTGTGGGGGATGTAGTTGGTCGTCATTTGTTATACAGAGCCGAAGATCTCCTGCCAGTACCGAGTAGCTGTGGAGTCAGAGCTCCATCCCCTGAATTAACCCTGACTGATCACCTCCAGCACTCTCAGAGGGTGAGTAATGAGCACAGTAACTAATTGACTGACAGAAAGAAAGAAGCCATATAGAAATTACAACATGCAGGCACAGCGTTCAGCTCAATCAGTTCATGGAAGGTTCATTTACTCAGCATGTTCCCCTTTTCCTTCTAACTCCCCATCTCCTGTCGAAAGTCGATCTTGATGGAATTTGTGTCTTAAACACTGACTCCAGAAATGAATCCATGGTTTCATTACTCTTGAAGAGAAATCAGAGTTAATGTTTTGGGTCCAGTGACCCTTCCTCAGAACTGATGGTAGGCAGGAAAAGGTTGGTTTATATGCAGAAGATACGGTGGGAGTAGGGGGTAAGGAGTAAACGATTGTTGGGGATGGAGCCCTAAGAGAGAGAAGAACAGTTGGACAAAGGAGTGCATAATGATCCGGATAGGACGGTGATTAGCTGTTAATGGAGACTGTTGGCGGCTAACAATAATAGCAGACTATGTGATCACAATGCCTGCTATGTGAGGTTGTTGTCTGAGACATAAGAAATAGTCATTTCCCATAATAATGCCTTTCTCTGCTGCCTTGTCTCAACTTTTTGATTTACCGGATCTTCTGAAATTTGTTCTCATGCCCCACTAGTTGGTTTAAAATCTCTCTACTTCTCTAGTTATGCAGCTCAGTAGAACACTGGCCCCAGAACAGTTCATGTGGAGAATGTTCCATCGGTACAGAGCCCACTTTACCCAGGGTCCAGAACCAGAATCCATTTCTGTCACATTGAGGCATGTATTCATCTTTCTCTTCATATTTGCCTGAAGCCAGTTTGCACATGGCTCAGGTAAAACAAAATAATGCTGAGATTATTACCTTTGATGATTTGCTTCTTAATTTAGTGCCAGCTCCTCACATCATTTATACAGAGCCTCCTTCTTGCAGCTGGTAGCTACATGGACCACAATGACCAAAACCTTTCCCTCCCACTGCAAATTCTTCTTGCAGTGAGGAGATGTCCTGAACTCTGCTTTGGTCAAAGAGCACAGTCTGTATTCAAATAAAAAAACAAACTAACTGCCAAATGCTGTGAATCAGAATCAAAAACAAAAGTTGCTGGAAAATCTCAGCAGGTCTGGAAGCATCTGTGAAGGGGAATCAGAGTTAACATCGCGGGTCTGGTGACCCTTCCTCAGAACTCATGGTAGCTAGGAAAATGTCAGTTTATGTGCAGACGATAGGGTGGGGAAAAGGGGTAAGGAGTAAATTATAGGTGGGGATAGAGCCCAAAGAATGAAGAACAGTTAGGCAAAGGAGGGATGATAATCTGGCTAGCATGGTGACTACCTGTTAATGGAGACTGTTTGTGGATAACAATAAATACTGTGTCATGGCAGACTGTGTGATAATAAGGCCTGGTATGTGGTGCTGGGGGCTAGGGCATGGGAGAGTTCTGGCCCTAAAATTATTGAACTCGATATTGAGTCCGGAGGGCTGTGGAGTCCCCAAGCGAAAAATAAATTGCTGTTCTTCCAGTTTATGCTGAGCATCATTGGAACACTGCAACAAACCTGAGACAGAGATGTTGGCCAGGGAACAGTGTGGTGTATTAAAGCGGCAGGCAACTGGAAGCTCAGGGTCTTTTTTGCCAGTAGAACATAGATGTTCTATGTAGAGGAGACCACATTGTGAACAGTGAGTGCAGTAGACTAGATTGTCGGAAGTGCAGGTGAAGTGTTGCTTCACCTGGAAGGTATGTTTGGGCCCTTGGATACTGGGGAGGGAGGAGGTAAATGGGCAGGTGTTACACCTTTGGCGGTTGCAGGGGAAAGTGCCATGGGGCTGTGGGGGTGGTGTTGGGAATGAAGAAAGAGTGGACCACAGTGTCCCGGAGGGACCAGTCCCTACAGAAAGCGGACAAGGGGAGGGAGGGGAATATGTGTCTGGTGGTGACATCTTGCTGGAGGTGGTCAAAATGATGACTGATGATCTGGATGTGGATGCTTGTGGGATGGTAGGTAAGGACAATGGGAACCCTATTGTATCTGTGAGAGGTTACAGAGGGGTCGAGGGCAAAGTGCGGGAGATGGTTCGGACCCAGATGAGGGCCCTGACGACAACAGTGCTGGAGAATTCTCAGTTGAGGAAGAAGGTGGATATTTCGGAGGCTCCCTTGTCGAAGTTGACCTCATCAGAACACATGCGACGGAGATGGAAGAACTGAGAGAATGGGATGGAGTCTTTACAGGAAGAAGGATGTATAGTCCAGGTAGCTGTGGGAGTTGGTGCATTTATAGTGGATGTTAGTGGCCAGCCTATGCCCAGAAGTAGAAACAGAGATGTTGAGGAAGGAAAGGGAGGAGTCAGCGAAAGACCAAGTGAAAGTGAGGACAAACTGGAAATCAGGGGCAAAATCAATGAACTGTTCCAATTTCAGATGAGAGAGAGAAGCAGCAACAATTATACATCGCTATATTTGAGATCAATTTGCAGGTGCAGGCCAGAATAGGACCGGGACAAGCAATGTTTCATGTACCCCGCGAAAAGACAGGCATAACCATGTGCGTACCCATGGCCACCTCACTGACCTGAAGAAAATGAGAGGATTTAAAAGAGAAGTTGTTCAGGGTGAGGATGAGCTTGGCCAAGCGGAGGAGGGTGGTGATGGCTGGTGGCTGTATTAATGCTGTTCGCTGCAGAGCAAGATGTTGATGCTTCTCACTATACTTGCTTTGTTACCACTATATTTGTTCAGCAGCGGGAGTTGGGTGAGAGCGCAACGGGACTGCTGGGAAGGTGAGCTTTTCAGTTTAAAAGACTTACCTTGTGAGTCTGCGGCCTCCATTTGTTCAGCGGCGGGAGTCGGGTGAGCGCGTGAGGGGATTGCTGGGAAGGTAAAATCATACATTCTGGCAGTGGCTAGGATGTGGGAGGTAAGACCCAACATCAGTGACTCTGCTGACTTCACCTGTGGTAAGTGCACCCAGCTCCAGCTCCTCAAAGACCGCGTTAGGGAACTGGAGCTGGAGCTGGATGAACACAGGATCATTCGGGAGGCTGAGGTGGTGATAGAAACAAGCTACAGGGACATAGTTACGCCTAATAATGAAGGCAGTTGGGTGACAGTAAGGAAAGGGCAGGGAAGGAATCGGTCAGTGCAGGGATCCCCTGTGGTCATTGCCCTCAACAAGAAGTACACTGTTTTGGATACTGTTGGGGGGGACGACCTCCCTCAGGGACCGGGTCTCTGGTACAGGGTCTGGCTCTGTGGCTCAGAAGGGAAGGGGGGAGAATAGGAGAGCAATTGCAGTGGGGGATTCAATAGTTAGAGGCACAGACAGGCGGTTCTGTGAACGCGAACAGACGAACGGATGGTATGTTGCATCCCGGGTGCCAGGGTCTGTGACGTCTCGGATCGTGTCTTCAAGATCCTTAAGGGGGAGGGTGAGCAACCAGCAGTCATGGTACACATCGGTACCAATGATATAGGTAGAAAAAGGACAGAGAATGTGAAAAACGAGTACAGGGAGTTAGGTTGGAAGCTGAAGTCCAGGACAAACAGGGTAGTTATCTCTGGATTACTACCAGTACCACGTGATAACAAGGTAAGAAATAGGGAGAGAGTGCAGCTAAACACGTGGCTACAGGGCTGGTGTAGGAGGGAGGGCTTCCATTATGTGGATAATTGGAGCACATTCTGGGGAAGGTGGGACCTGGACAGGAAGGACGGGTTGCACCTGAACCAGAAGGGCACAAATATCCTGGGAGGGAGGTTTGGTCAAGCTATACGGGATGGTTTAAACTAGTTTGGCAGGGGGTGGGGAACCAGATTTATAATTCAGAGGATGAGGTATTCAGCCTTCCAACAGACACAACAGGGTGTGAAGTTGTTAATAAAGAAATGCGGATGAACTTAGAGCATGGGTCGGGACTTGGAACTACGATGTTGTGGCCATTACAGAAACTTGGTAACTCAGGGAGAGGAATGGTTGTTGGAAGTTCTGGGATCTAGATACTTTAAAAGAAATAGGGAGAGTGGAAAAAGAGGCGGGGGAGTGGCATTGCGAGTCAGGGCGAGTATAGCAGCTACTGAAAAGCAGTTCGAGAATGATATGTCTACAGAGTCAGTTTGGGTTGAGGTCAGGAACAAGAAAGGAGCAGTCACTTTGTTGGGGGTTTTTTACAGACCCTCTAATAGTTGCAGAGAAGTGGAGGAGCAGATTGGGAGGCAGATACTGGAACCAAGTCTCCCTCACTCAATCGCATCTTCCCTGCCTGCTGGGGACAAACATATTAAGCACACGCAGTATGCATTCCTTAAACAATCTCCACATTTCGATAGTGCTCTTCCCTGACAGCATCTGTTCCCAGAAGTCACAGGGTTGTAGTCATGGGTGACTTCAACTTTCCAAATATTGATTGGAAACATTTTAGTTGTGATTGTTTAGATGGAGTGGATTTTGTCCAGAGCGTTCAGGAAGGATTCCTGACACAGTATGTAGATAGACCAACACGAGGAGAGGCCACTTTGGATTTGGTGCTTGGCAATGAACTGGGCCAAGTGTCAGACCTGAGATAGTAGGAACTGCAGATGCTGGAGAATCTGAGACAACAAGGCGTAGAGCTGGATGAACACAGCAGGCCAAGCAGCATCATAGGAGCAGAGAGGCTGATGTTTCGGGCCTAGACCCTTCATCAGAAAAGGGGGAGGGGAAGGGGGTTCTGAAATAAATAGGGAGAGAGTGGGGGGCGGATAGAAGATGGATAGAGGAGAGGATAGGCGGAGAGGAAACAAACAGGTCGAAGAGGCGGGGATGGAGCCAGTAAAGGTGAGTGTAGGTGGGGAGTTAGGAAGGGGATAGATCAGTCCAGGGAGGATGGACAGGTCAAGGGGGCGGGATGAGGTTGGTCGGTAGGAGATGGAGGTGCGGCTTGAGGTGGGAGGAGGGGATAGGTGGGAGGAAGAACAGGTTAGGGATGCAGGGACGAGCTGGACTGGTTTTGGGATGCGGTGGGGGGAGGGGAGATTTTGAAGCTTGTGAAATCCACATTGATAGCATTGGGCTGCAGGGTTCCCAAGCGGAATATGAGTTGCTGTTCCTGTAACCTTCGGGTGGCATCGTTGTGGCACTGCAGGAGGTCTCGGATGGACATGTCGTCTGAGGAATGGGAGGGGGAGTTGAAATGGTTCGCGACTGGGAGGTGCAGTTGTTTATTGCGAACCAAGCGTAGGTGTTCTGCAAAGCGGTCCCCAAGCCTCCGCTTGGTTTCCCCGATGTAGAGGAAGCCACACCGGGTACAGCGAATGCAGTATACCACATTGACAGATGTGCAGGTGAACATCTGCTTGATGTGGAAAGTCTTCTTGGGGCCTGGGATGGGGGTGAGGGAGGAGGTATGGGGGCAGGTGTAGCACTTCCTGCGGTTGCAGGGAAAAGTGCCAGGTGTGGTGGAGCTGGAGGGGAGTGTGGAGCGGACAAGGGAGTCATGGAGAGTGTGGTCCCTCCGGAAAGCAGATAAGGTGGGGAGGGAAAGATGTCTTTGGTGGTGGGGTCGGATTGCAGACGGCGGAAGTGTCGGAGGATGATGCGTTGGATCCGGAGGTTGGTGGGGTGGTACGTGAGGACCCTCCTCCCTTTCTTTATTTTAACTCTTTTTACATCAATACTCAATATAAAACATATCCGTTGGAACATTTACTTCTTTCTACATCTAACTTAGCTTCAACTTTAACTCATTTCATTTAACTTCACTTTACCTTACTTTAATTTAACCCATATTTAACCCAAACTCGAGCTTTAACTCTATAAGTTTGGCTTGAAACAAATACGACGCCAATTCGAGTGAAATGGCCAACTTTGCTCTTGGTGTAGATCTTGCCTGTGGTTCGTTGTTTTCTTTGAAGATAACTTCAGGGTACGTGCTTCACAAATGTTGGTCTTGAAGGTTCACTCCTGCAAATGCTTTGTTCTGCTAACTTCTACCACAAATGTGTTCATCTTTCATGAAACTTCGCTGGCACTCAGTCAATGAATTGACAATTCCTGATTCATACTGTTCGATCCCAGCCAATGGAGTTTACTGGTAAACAACTCCATAATGTTTATACAATAACGTAAACAGTCACATTCCATACTCCAGTTAAGGTAATATGGTGCCAGTGTGTCTCGCAAGACACCATGACACCTCCCTTACTTGGTCAACAAACGTAACTGGAGGTCACAGCTTACAGGACAGGTCACGACATGTCTTAGTTTTAACCGACGTCAGAGTTTAGACTAACTTGACATAACCTCCCAGCATGCTTGCTTGTAGCTTGATTGTAGGCCATGTTGTGGTTGTACAGGATGTTGGTTCGGCTACTTTTGGAATACTGTATGCAATTCTGGCCTCCCTGCAATATGACGGACGTTGCAAAACTTCTAAGGGTTTGGAAAAGATTTAAAAGGATTTTGCCAAGGCTGGAGGGTTCGAGCTATATGGAGAATCTGAATTGGCAGGGTTATTTTCCCAGGAGCATTGGAGGCTGAGAGGTTTCCCTATAGATGTTTACAAAATCAAAAGGGGCATAGATAAGGTCTTTTCCCTGGAGTGGGGCAGTCAATATCTAGAGGGCATAGTCTCACGACACCAGGTTATAGTCCAACAGGTTTATTTGAAGACACAAGCTTTCAGAGTCTCACTCCTTCTTCAGGTGTCAGTGAGAAAGGTAGCATCAGACACAGAAATTATAAGAAAAAGATCAAAGGGTCATAGAATTGATGCAGTGTTGAACAAAAGTAAGATGGCTGTTAAATCTTTAATCAGTTAGAAAGGCTTAATATGCAAATTCACAAATTTCTTTCAAGCCACTGCCCCGAGATAACTAAAGGTTTTATCAATTCCCTCAGTATACCAGAGGTGACATCCTAGGTTAGGCAATGCATTTTAAGTGTGAGGCACTGTTTAGAATCTGGCTGTGTATCAACTTGGAGTCAGACTGGCTTTATTTCCACATTGACTATCTATAAATTGTGTGCCTTTTGAACAAGATAGAATGTATCTGCAATTACAAATCTGCAAAATGTGTGTGTGTGTGTGTGTGTGTGAGAGAGAGAGAGAATGTGTGTGTGCCAGTGGGGGAACACTTAAGCGGTAAAGGACATTCAGCCTTGGATCTTCAAGGCAGACTTCGGGATGCACAACAACGCTGAGTCACCGAGCAGAGACTAATAGCCAAGTTCAGTACCTGTGAGGACAGCCTCAACCGGGATCTTGGGTTCATGTCGCACAACAGGTGACCCCACCACACTGTACACTCTCACACACGCACACATACGCACACACTCTCTCACACAAACACGCTCACACACGCATACTTACTCACTCACTCAGACACTCTCACATACAGACAGTCTCTCATACACACACACATTCTCTCTCCCCTGCACACGCACACACACACAAATGCACATACACACACACTGTCTCTCTCTCCCTCTCACACACGCACACACACACTCACACTCATTCAATTACACACACACACCCTCTCTCCCTCACACACACACACACTCTCTCTCTCCCGCCCCCCACCCCATCACACATACACAAGTAAATCCATGGGGTGAATTTGCATTTGTATTTGCAGATATATTCAATTTTGTTCAAAAAGCACACAATTTGTAGACAGTCAATGTGGCATTTTATATATTCCTACTTTGGAAATAAAACCAGTCTGACTCCAAGTTGATACTTAGCCCGATTCTAAACAATACCTCACACTTAAAATGCATTGTCTAACAGAGGATGTCACCTCTGGTAGACTGAGGGAATTGATAAAACCTTTTATTATCTCGGGGCAGTGACTTGAAAGAAATTCAGGAATTTGCATATTAATCCTTTCTAACTGATTAAAGATTTAACTGCCATTTTAGGACTGTTCAACACTGCATCAGTTTTATGACCCTTTGATTTTTTTCTTATAAATTCTGTGTCTGATGCTACTTCTCTCACTGACATCTGAAGAAGGAATGAAACTCTGAAAGCTTATGTTTTCAAATAAACCTGTTGGACTATAACCTGGTGTGGTGCCATTTTTGACTTTGTCCACTCCAGTCTAACACTGGCACTTCCACAACGTAGAGGCCATAAGTATAAGGTGAGAGGGAAGGATTTAAAAGGGACCTAAGGAGCAACTTTTTCACGCAGAGTGTGGTGCGCGTATGGAATGAGCTGCCGGTGGAAGTGGTGGAGGCTGGTACAATCACAACAATTAAAAGGAATCTGGATGGGTATATGAATAGGAAAGGTTTTGAGGGATATGGGCCAAATGCTGGCAAATGGGACTAGATTTATTTAGGATGTCTGGTTGGCATAGGTGAGTTGGACTGAAGGGTCTGTTTCCAAGCTGTATATCCCTGTGACTTGATTGACTCTGACTATGACTCAGCATTGATGTACAGAAGAACGTTGGGTTCAAGTCCATAGCTCCCTCAACATGGCCACACAAGTAGATAGGGTGGTAAAGAAGGCATATGGCAAGTTTGCCTTTTGCTGGTCGGGGAATTGAGTACAAGAGTCAGGATGGCATGTTGCAGCTTTATAAGACTTTGATCAGGCCACACTTAGAGCATTGCATTCAATTCTGGTTGCCACATTACAGGAAGTATGTGGAGGTTTTGGAGAGGGTGGAGAAGAGGTTTACAGGATGTTGCCTGGATTAGAGGGTATGAGCTGTAAGGAGAGGCTAGAAAAACTTGGGTAGTTTTCTCCCTTGAGCAGCGGAGACTGAGGGGAGACTTGTTAGAAGTTTATAAAATTGGGATTGATGGTCAGAATCCTTTTCCCAGAGTTGAAATGTCTAATACTAGGGGAATGCGTTTAAGATGAGAAGGGGAAAGTTCAAAGGAGATGTGAAGGGCAAGTTTTTACACAGAGAGTGGTAGGAGTCTGGAACGCACTGCCAGGGGTGAGGCAGATACGATAAGGGTGTTTTAAGGGACTTTTAGACAAGCACATGAATATGCAAGCAATAGAGGGATATGGACCAAGGGCAGGCAGAAGGGAATAGTTTCTTCTGGTGTCATGTTCGGTACAACATCATGGGCCACAGGGCCTGTACCTGTGCCGTACTATTCTATGTTCTATGGCGCAATACATTTATGACTCTTAACCAGTCACATAGCCATTTCTGCTGCTAGATGTCTGACCACAGGTTCAAGAAGGCAGCTCATCACAACTCTCTCAAAGGCAACTTGGAATGGGCAGTAAATGCTGGCCAGCCAGCAGCACTGTGTCCAATGAGAGAATAAAACAAAGGCCTTTAACAAGCAGTAATAATTGTCAAATAGCATTTTGCTGCTGCCTAGTGAGAATCTTGCTATGCCACTTATGAAAAGCATCAGAGATGGAGCAAGTTGTTCCTGATATTGAGATGGGCCACACTTCACTGGTCACCCAATTCTGCCATTCATCTCGAGGTTCCACCCCTTGTCTCAGCCTTAAATGCATGACCCCTAGTTCTCAAAGCATTTCGTACCCATTGATGTATACAGATCAGGGCCACACTTACCAGATGATCTATGTTCTATGTTCTTTGTGTCGTTAGCTCGTGTTTTCTGGGCTGGAGCAAACTGTTACTGAAAGAGAAAAGAAGGGAGGGGTCAGGAAAATAAGAATGTAAAAGAAGCAGGAAGTAATAAATCCATTAAGAGACCTCTCTTAATTTCAAACTGAGGATCTTTCTGAGGAATTAGATATAGTGGACAGGACAAAATATTTCTGTGTAAGAGAAAAGGGAGGAGTCATGTGAATTGGACTTTAACTAGTACCTTCCCAGTCAGGGGTCACTGTATCATTTCACCTCAAATTGACAAAGATTTTCTCTTTCTCCAGATGGAAAGGGATGTGCTGGCAGAGATGAGATATATCGAACTGGTGCTTGTGGCAGATCGGAATCTGGTACGTGAAGCCTCCTCCAGCAGGAACTGGATGGGGTTCGAACCTCTGCGCTTCCTGATGCACATGAATAACCTGGGGACCTTGTTGCACAGGGCACATTTTCAAAGTTTAAAAAATTGTGAAGCTGTTGGTATAATCATCAAAAGTGGGAAGTCATGGTGGTGTAGTGGTCATGACAATAGACTGGTAATACACTGTACGTTGCTCTGGGGATACAGGTTCAAATCCCATCTTCCACCGTCACATTGATGACTGTATCGGCGCTGCCTCGTACTCCCATGAGGACGCCGAACAGTTCGTCCACTTCACCAACACCTTCCACCCCAACCTTAAGTTCACCTGGACCATCTCTGATACCTCTCTCTCCTTCCTGGACCTCTCTGTCTCCATCTCTGGCAACCACCTGGAAACCGATATTCATTTCAAGCCCACCGACTCCCACAGCTACCTAGAATACACCTCCTCCCACCCACCTTCCTGCAAAAATGCTATCCCCTATTCCCAATTCCTTCGCCTCCACCGCATCTGCTCCCAGGATGAGGCATTCCACTCCCGTACATCTCAGTTGTCCTCGTTTTTCAAGGACAGCAACGTCCCCCCCTCAGTGGTCGAGAACATCCTCGACCGTGTCTCCCGCATTTCCTGCAACTCATCCCTCACACCCACTCCCCGCAATAACAACCAAAACAGAATCCCCCTCGTCCTCACGTACCACCCCACCAACCTCCGGATCCAACGCATCATCCTCCGACATTTCCGCCATCTGCAATCCGACCCCACCACCAAAGACATCTTTCCCTCCCCACCCTTATCTGCCTTCCGGAGGGACAACTCTCTCCGGGACTCCCTTGTCCGCTCCACACTCCCCTCCAGCCCCACCTCACCTGGCACTTTTCCCTGCAACCGCAGGAAGTGCTACACCTGCCCCCATACCTCCTCCCTCACCCCCATCCCAGGCCCCAAGAAGACCTTCCACATCAAGCAGATGTTCACCTGCACATCTGCCAATGTGGTATACTGTATCCGCTGTTCCCATTGTGGCCTCCTCTACATCAGGGAAACCAAGCGGAGGCTTGGGGACCGCTTTGCAGAACACCTACGCTCGGTTCACAATAAACAACTGCACCTCCCAGTCATGAACCATTTCAACTCCCCCTCCCATTCCTCAGACGACATGTCCATCCTGGACCTCCTGCAGTGCCACAACGATGCCACCCGAAGGTTGCAGGAACAGCACCTCATATTCCGCTTGGGAACCCTGCAGCCCAATGGTATCAATGTGGATTTCACAAGTTTCAAAATCTCCCCTCCCCCCACCGCATCCCAAAACCAGTCCAGCTCGTCCCTGCCTCCCTAACCTGTTCTTCCTCCCACCTATCCCCTCCTCCCACCTCAACCCCCACCCCCATCTCCTACCCTAACCTGATCCCGCCCCCTTGACCTGTCCGTCCTCCCTGGACTGACCTATCCCCTCCCTAACTCCCCACCTACACTCACCTTTACTGGCTCCATCCCCGCCTCTTCGACCTGTTTGTTTCCTCTCCACCTATCCTCTCCTCTATCCCTCTTCTATCCGCCTCCCACTCTCTCCCTATTTATTTCAGAACCCCCTTCCCCTCCCCCTTTTCTGATGAAGGGTCTAGGCCCGAAACGTCAGCCTCTCTGCTCCTATGATGCTGCTTGGCCTGCTGTGTTCATCCAGCCCTGCACCTTGTTATCTTTGTTTCTTTCCTTGTTTCCTTAAAGGGAAACATACAGAAAGGTTATTAAAACACTGGCTCGGCCACAGGTGGAGTATTGGTGTTCAGGGGAGGGAAGCTGAAATAGTTGTCCAAGGAACAGATAATGTTATTTTTATTTAATCAACAATCATTTCATGATTGAGTTCAAAATTATGGATAATTTTGTTAGTGAGAATAAGGAAGAAAAGTTTCAGTGATGAGAGGCTTCACCATCGGGGATACAGATGTAAAATTTATCAAGTTATTGACACAGAAATGGCCATTCAGCTTAGAGAGTCTCTGATGGCTCTTTATCAAGAAATATGAACATTCTTCTTCCCTCATTCTATTCTCTGACTGTGTATCTTTGTTTTTAACTGTGACCATCCACTTTACTTTAAAACTCGTCACATTTTTCATTTCTACCAAGCTCGTCAGCAGAGAATTTTACATTGCCATTTTCAGCATATAAATGATTTTCCAGACAATGCCCATGTATTCTGTAATTGACTAACATCTGTCTGGTTTCTCTTCATTTACTTTCCCTGATTATTGTACTTTAAACTTTACCCTCTGTTGACATTAACCGACTGCTTGTATCAACAAGCACAGTTTTTACCCTATGTTTGAAAGCGATTATCACATTTGGCTGTCTCCAATCCTCCAAGCTCTCCTCCTGAGGAATCTGAGGCAGATTGGAACATTATGCCAAGGTCTTCCATTGCCAGCGTACACTCATTTCCTTCAGCGACCTGTGATGCAAGCCAGACAGAAAAATGTAGCACGTGTATCCACTCACTGAGGACCCAGCTTCTCCAGCTTATTCTGCCAATCAATTTTCATCCATTCCGCCTACCATTTTGTCTTGTCAGGATACCGAGCTCACGTACTCAGTCAGCACAAGTTCACCTTGGCAGCTTTCTGTTTCCTGTTTGAGCTTTGGTGATTTACCTGTGTTAGGAAGCTCAGGAATTCCTCTGTCATGGCAGTCTCAGTCTCGATTGCTTTGTGCTGTATGTGAAGTGAAAGGGCGTAACAGAGAAGAGGCCATCCAGCCATCAAATCCGCACTGCTAAAGTATACGCTACTACCTGCACTACTCCCATTTTCCCATAGCTTTGGTACTGGTTAAAGATTCAATACTACCTTTCAAAAGAAGGGCTGAACAAATATGTGAGGGGGAGAGAACAATGCCAGACGATGGGAGCAGAGCAGGAAAATGATATTAGTGGGATAGCTGCTTCAAAGATATAGCACAGGCCAAATAGGTGAGTGGCCTCAACCTGTGATCTCAAACTGTGGGTGGCATGGTGGATCAGTGGTTAGCACTGTTGCCTCACAGCACCAGGGGCCCAGGCTCAATTCTGCCTTCACGCAACTGTATGTGGGGAGTTTGCACATTCTCCCCGTGTCTGTGTGGGTTTCCTCTGGGTGCTCCGGTTTCCTCTCACAGTCCAAAGATGTGCAGGCTGGGTGGATTGCCCATAATGTTCAGGGATGTGTAGATTAGGTGGGTTATGGGGGATGGGTCTGGGTGGGATGCTCTGAGGGGCAGTGTGGAATTGTTGGGCCAAAGCCTGTTTCCACACTGTAGGGCTTCTAAGCTGTAAGTCTAACCCTCCCACTGAAGAAGGCGTGCAGGATGATGAGAAGTCCAAAAGATTTTGGGGAGTGTTTGGAGAATGTGTGTGATCATGGAGAGTCTGAGTTGATCTGTTCAATTCACTGAGTCAGCACCAACAATTTTGTTTCCTTCCAGTATCAGAATCTGGGCAGGAACAGAGGAGCTGTGGTGCGAAGAATGATTGACATTGCCAATACAATCGACCTGGTGAGTACAGAGACTGTGTTCGCAGTGATGACAGGTTCACCTTTCTCTGCCATTTCTCTGTTTAAGCCTCTCCATGCTACCAGACAGGTCAGAATGACAATGACATGAAATACAGCATTCTGGTAATGCACAATACTTGAAATTTCTGGTACAGATTTTCTCACACCCTGCTTTCAGCTCTTTAAAAAAATCACTGTGACCCTTCAAGCAATCACATAGTCAGGATATTTCACCTGGTCTGCATGGATTACAAAAAGATATTGGAGTCAATGATGGTTAACCAGGAAAGTTAAGGATAGCTTTACATTGAAATGAAAAACACACAACATGTCAAAAACTAATGGTAAGCAAGAGGATTGGGAAAGTTTTACAAACTAACAAAAGTCAAACAAAAATTTAGAAAAAGGGAGGAAGTAAACTTTGACGGAAAAATTGCAAATACTATCAAGATGGACAGCAAGAGCTTCTTTAAATACATAAGAAGAAAGAGAGAAGCCAAGTCCCTCAGAGAATGAGGTTAGGCAAATAATAATGGGCACTAGTAAATGGCAGAGGAGTTGAATAAATACTTTGCACCAATCTTCACAGCAGAAGACACAAATATCATTCCAAAATTCCTAAATAACCTAAGAGCATAAGGAAGAGAAGAAACAAATACAATAAATATCACGAGAGAAAGTGTACTGAGGAAAACGGCAGGGGGACGAGAACCGGAGCTACAGATCAGAGGATGGGGTAGCTGGTGTACAGGCAGATACAGCGTGCAGATAGTCTGTGAAGAAGGATAAGCAGTTGATAGGGCAAAGTTGCAGTCAGTACGACAGGTTAAAGTGTGTCTATTTTAACGCAAGAAGTAAAAACGAAAAGAACTGTGGATGCTGTAAATCAGGAACAAAAACAAAGTTGCTGGAAAAGCTCAGCAGGTCTGGTAGCATCTGTGAAGGAGAAAACAGAGTTAACTTTTCGCGACCGTTCCCTCCGGGACACCCTGGTCCCCACTTCCTTCACCCCCAACACCTCGCCACAGTCCTACGGCACCTTCCCCTGCAACCGGCGAAGATGCAACACCTGCCCATTTACCTCCTCCCTCCCCAGCATCCAAGGGCTCAAACATACCTTCCAGGTGAAGCAACACTTCACCTGCACTTCCCAGAATCTAGTCGACTGCATTCGCTGCTCACAATGTGGTCTCCTCCACATTGGGGAAATAAAGCATAGACTTGGCGACCGCTTCGCAGAACATCTACGTTCTGCTTGCAAAAAAGACCCTGAACTACCTGTTGCGTGCCACTTCAACGCACCACCCTGCTCCCTGGCCAACATCTCTGTCTCTGGCTTGCTGCAGTGTTCCAGTGAAGCCCAACGTAAGCTGGAGGAACAACACCTCATTTTCCGCTTGGGAACCCTACAGCCCTCCGGACTCAATATTGAGTTCAATAATTTTAGGGCTTAAACTCTCCCATGTCCCAGCCCCCCCACCCCACATACCAGGCCTTGTTACCACGTAGCCTGCCACTACACACCCCCTGTTGTTAGTCACTAACAGTCCCCATTAACAACTACTCACTCTCCCAGCCTGATCGTTAGCAACTCCTTTGTCTGTCCAACTGTATTTCTGTCTCTTTGGGCTCTACCCTATCATTTACTCCCTAAGTCACCCACCTCCCTATTTTCTGCAGATAAACTGACGTTTTCCCAGCCACCATCAGTTCTGAAGAAGCTCCGGTTCCCATTCCCCTGCCAAACCAGTTTAAATCCTCCCGAAGAGCTCTAGCAAATCTCCCACCCAGGATATTGGTGCCCCTGCAGTTCAGGTGCAACCCGTCCTTCCTGTACAGGTCCCACCTTCCCCAGAAGGTATCCCAATGATCCACAAACCTGAAGCCCTCCCTCCTACACCAGCACTGTAGCCACATGTTCAGCTGCGCACTCTCTCTGTTTCTAGCCTCACTAGCCCGTGGCACTGATAATAATCCTGAGATTACTACTCTACTCGTCCTGGCTTTCAGCTTCCATCCTAACTTCCTATAACCAATTTCAGGTCCTCATCCTGTTTCTTAGCTATGTCTTTGGTGCCGATGTGTATCAGAAATAAGGCGGATGAACTTGGAGCTGCGACCCAGGTGGATAGAGTTGTTAAGAAGGCGTATGGTGTGTTAGCTTTCATTAATAGAGGGATTGAGTTCAAGAGCCGTGAAGTTATGCTCCAGCTATACAAAAGACTGGTTCAGCCACATCTGGAGCATTGTGTCCAGTTCTAGTCACCTCATTACAGGAAAGATGTGGAAGTGTTGGAATAGATGCAGAGGAGATTTACCAGGATGTTGCCTGGAATGGAGGGAAGGTCTTACGAGGAAAGGTTGAGAGAGCTAGGGCTTTTCTCTTTTGAACGACGAAGGATGAGAGGTGACTTGATAGAGGTGTACAAAACGATCAGAGGTATAGATAGAGTGGACAGCCAGAGACTTTTTCCGAGGGTGGATGTAGCTATTAGGAGGGGGCAGAGTTTTAAAGTGAGTGGAGGTAGATATAGAGGAGACGTCAGGTAGGTTCTTTACTCAGAGAGGGGTAGAGACGTGGAAAGCATTGCCGGAGAGGGTAGTGGAGTCGGACTAATTAGGGGCATTTAAGCGGCTATTAGATAGGCATATGGATGATAGTATAAGGTAGGGGTGGAGGTTAAATAGACCTTAGGATTAGGGTAAAAGTTCGGCACAACATCGTGGGCTGAAGGGCCTGTATTGAGCTGTACTGTTCTGTGTTCTAATATGGCTGTTGTCATGGGTGACTTAATTTTCCCTAATATAGACTGGAACCTCCTAAGCGCAAATATTTTGAATGGAGCAGATTTTGTCAGGTGTGTCCAGGAAGGATTTCTGACTCAATATACAGATAGGCCAACTAGAGGGGAGGCCGTATTGGATTTGGTGCTTGGCAACGAACGTAAGAACATAAGAACAAAAGAACACAAGAACTAGGAGCAGGAGTAGGCCGTCTTGCCCTTCGAGCCTGCTCCGCCATTCAATAAGATCATGGCTGATCCTTTCGTGGACTCAGATCCACTTACCCGCGTTCTCACTGTATCCCTTAATTCCTTTATTGTTCAAAAAAAATCTACCTTTTTTTTAAAAGCATTTACTAAATTAGCGTCAACTACTTCACTGGGCAAGGAATTCCATAGATAAACGAACCAGGCCACGTGTCAGATCTCTCGGTGGGAGAGCATTTCAGTGATGGTGATCACAACTCCCTTACCTTTACTATAGTCATGGAGAGGATAGGAGCACACGGTATGGGAAAGTATTTAATTGGGGGAGGGGGAATCACAATGCTGTGAGGGAAGAACTGCAGAGCATAAATTGGGACCAGATGTTCTCAGGGAAATGCACGACAGAAATGTGGAGGTTGTTTAGGGAGCACTTGCTACAAGTACTGGATAGGTTTGTCCCACTGAGGCAAGGAAGGGATAGTAAGTAGAAGGAACCTTGGATGATAAGACATGTGGAACATCTCGTCAAGAGGAAGAAGGAAGCTTACTTAAGGTTGAGGAAGCAAGGATTGGACAGGGTCCTTGAGGTCTACAACGTAGCCAGGAAGGAACAGAAGAATAGACTTAGGAGAGCTAGAAATGGGTATGAAAAAACCTTGGTGGGGAGGATTGTGGAAAACCCCAAGGCTTTCTATACTTATGTGAGGAACAAGAGGATGGCCAGAGTGAGGGTAGGGCCAGTCAGGGACAGTGGAGGGAACTTGTGCACGGAGTCGGAGGAGATAGGGGAGGGTTTTAATGAATACTTTGCTTCAGCATTCACCAGTGAAAGGGACTTTGACGTTTGTGAGGACAGTGTGAAACAGGTTGATATGTTCAAACAGGTTGATGTTAGGAAGGAGGATGTGCTGGGAATTTTGAAAAACATGAGGATAGATATGTCCCCTGGGCCAGACGGGATATACCCAAGGTTTATTCGGGAAGCGAGGGAAGAGATTGCTGCATCTATGGCGATGATCTTTGCATCCTCACTGACCACTGGAGTAGTACCAGATGATTGGAGGGTGGCAATTGTCATTCCCTTGTTCCAGAAAGGGAATAGGGATAACCCAAGGAATTACAGACCAGTCAGTCTTACTTCTGTGGTGGGCAAGTTATGGGAGAGGATTCTGAAAGATAATATTTGTGATTATTTGGAAAGGCACAGTTTGATTAGAAATAGTCAGCATGGCTTTGTGAGGGGCAGGTCATGCCTCACAAGCCTTATTGCATTCTTTGAGGATGCAACAAAACACATTGATGAAGGTAGAGCAGTGGATGTGGTATGTATGGATTTTAGCAAGGCATTTGATAAGGTTCCCCATGGTAGGCTCATTCAGAAAGTAAGGAGGCATGGATTCAAGGAAATTTGGCTGTCCAATAGAAATATTCAGCCTGGATCTTGGTGACCAGTGGTGTTCCGCAGAGACTGTTCTGGGACCTCTGCCATTTGTGATCTTTATAAATGAGGAAGTAGAAGCATGGGTTAGTAATTTTGCTGATGATACGAAGGTTGGTGGAGTTGTGGATAGTGTGGAGGGCTGTTGCAGATTGCAACGGCACATTAACAGGATGCAGAGCTGGGCAAAGAAGTGGCAGATGGAATTCAACGTGGAAAAGTGTGAAGTGATTCATTTTGTAAGATCGAATTTGAATGCAGGATTCTTGGCACTGTGGAGGAAAAGAGGGATCTTGGTGTCCATATCCATAGATCCCTCAAAAGTTGCCACGCAAGTTGATAGGGTTGTTAAGAAGCTGTATGGTATGTTAGCTTTCATTGGCAGGGGGATTGAGTTTTAGAGCCGGGAGGTTACGCTGCAGGTCTATAAAAGCCCTGGTTAGACCACACTTGAGTATTGTGTTCAGTTCAGGTTGCCTCATTATAGGAAGGATATGGAAGCTTTAGAGACGGTGCCGAGGAGATTTACCAGGATGTTGCCTGGACTGGAGGGCAGGTCTTATGAGGAAATGTTGAGGGAGCTAGGGCTTTTCTCATTGGAGTGAAGAAGGATGAGAGGTGACTAGATAGAGGTGTACAAGATGATGAGAGGCATAGATTTTGTGGATAGCCCGAGACTTTTTCCCAGGGCGGAAATGACTATTACGAGGGGGTATAATTTTAAGGTGATTGGAGGAAGGTATAGGGGAGATCTCAGAAGTAGGAGGCATGGGATTGAGGGTGATTTAGCGGTTTGGTTCAGAAATTGGCTAGCTGTAAGAAGACAGAGGGTGGTGGTTGATGGG